TCATCCTTCTTGAAAGCAGTCTGGAAATAGACAGAGAACCTTAAAATAAAATTAGGCACCTCAACTCCGTAATTTTTCTTATAGGAATCTAGCTAATGGCAATGAAAAGCATTTGTGTACCAGAATATTCATCATTGTACTATTTAATAGCAAATTTTCTAACACTGAAGGAATAGTTTTTCGAAATGGCATATTAGTGAAAGAATATTATGCAATTATTTTAAATCACAATTTGATGAAATAACTCATGACCTTGTACAGTTCTCTCCATATGTAAAAATGCAAATCAACCAAGATACATAAGTAAATAACATTATCTCAATTTATATGAAAAAATATAGATTGAAGCATTTAAAACGTCAATATTTTAATAACGGTTTACCTCTGAGTGATGAAACTGTAAATGATTTTGATATTTTCTCTCTACTTCTTCACATTTGCTATAATGACCATGCATTACTTTTATTCCCAGGAAAAAACCCAAATTGCAATTACATATTTATTGATAGAAATAAAGTAGGAAGACTTTCTGGGATAATTTGGAAATCTGAATCAAGATGTTGCATAAGCAAAGTACACGACTGCCTCCGGTACCACTCAGAACTTAGCGAAAACAAATTCTCACCGTGATACCTCCCACGGCTCTTGTTGATCCACAGTTGTTGTTGAGGGACAAAACTCCATGGGCCTCTCCTGATTTTACTTACTGTTATTCTTCTCTAGTACGCTTATCTAGTGAAGAGTCTTGGAAAATGTAGCTGCCTCCCTCCCAAGCAAAGCACAGACATGCTTATTGCCTAATGTAAAGGACTTAAGTTCACTAAATTCTGGATTCTTTCTCTACCCCTGGTAACAGTCACTGCTATGCAGGTGTCATTTCACACTTTTCACATCGCGCAGTGAGAGTTAGGACCAATATCTGGCTCTAAAATTGCAGTGAGCAAATAAAGTGTCCTCTACCTCGGACCCAAAAGACTCATGTCCTCTACAAGCACCCATGAAGCTACACTGAGCTCTCTTGTTGGCTTACGAGTAGGGTGCAGTCTCAAATTCTTCTTCATGATTATGTGACTATAAACATGAATATCTTTCGCCCTAAATGTTCATTTTCTACTATACATTTAGGAGTGGTGGTATTTCAGCTTTTCCAATCATTTCTAATTTATTAGTAAAAGAATTTATAGGTTTCTTTCTTGTGAACAGATTTGGATCAAGAAGAATAGCAAGATAATCTTTATCCTTTGAGCTTAGTAGATAACAGAACACATAAAACAGGAAAGTGGAATCTTTCGGAAAAGAAGTGGGGAAATAGACCACCAGTGAATAGGAGATCATGTAAATTATTGTCACTTTGAAATTTGAAATAAATAAGGTGCAGTAGATGTACAACAATATGACAAATGGTAAAATTACTAAAATAAGGATGTGCTGACTCTCTTCTGCCACAATGCAAAACTGTTCACTTCTTCCTAGTTTCCCACGGGTGGAGGTCATCCCTGACTGCAGCAGTTGGGGTGGAGTAGCATCTGGATTGGGTTTCGGCTATGCCTGGAGGATTGGTGGAACACACTGCGGGATGTGTCTGGATGGGTCTCGGAGGGGTGGCCTTAGGGGTCTATGTCTGGTTCCTGGCTCCTTACCCCCGGCACTGTTCCCCCGCTCTGCTTTCCGACCACCATGATATATCTTTGCTTCATTACAGCCTTCTGACATGATGTTTCTGACAAAGGGTCAACCTACCACGGACTGAAGTGCCCCCAAATCATGGGCCGAATTACACTTCTCCTCCTTTAAATTGAGGTTATTGAGTATTGTATCTTAGCAATAGGAGACCTAATATAGAAAAGTGGGGCAGCTGCTGTAACTGCACCTGTACATGTGGTTTAGTAAGTCAGCTTGTGGGAGAAATTTGGCAAGTTTGACGATACAGACTAGAGAAGACTTGGAACGCTGTAACCAGAACCTGATGGATGATTCTCATTGGAATTTAGAAGATCAGAATGCTGAAAAGAATGTAGGCAAGAAAGGCTAGAGCTCAAGAGGTGTCAACTGGGAACAAGGACTACATTGGCAGCTGGACCCAAGGCTTTGTGTGTTCAACTGGCAAAATACAATTTGTCAACTTTGTGCCCGTGCCTGAGACTTCTGTGGGAAACTGAAATAAAGGCAAAGGGCTGGCTGTCTTGAAAATTCCTGTGCATGACCACTGCTGGCTGTGCTTAGGCAGAACTATAATAAGAAGTAAGGACAAAAGCCATATTAAAAATTTTGAAAAACTTAAATTTTGACCCAAATGAAGCACATGTAAAGTTGGGGCCAAAAATGTTGCGATTGTTGAAGAGATTAGTTCCATTGAAAAGAAATCAAGTGGGCCAGGGACGTAGCTCAGTGGTGCCATGCCTGCTTGGCAAGCACAATGTCCTGAGTTCAATGCGCTGTATCAGAAAAAAAAGGAAGGAAGGGAGAAATCAAGTATAGAGTACAGGAATGATAAGAGGCCCTCAGGACACCTCAGAATTTAGCAAGATCCCAAGTATAAATTTTTTGAGAAGCCAGACCCTGGGATGCCAACTCAAGAAGGGCTTCCCAGGGAATTAGTTCCCTGGGATTCTTTTCACTGTGCTCTGTCATCCAGGCACTCAGAGGCCACCATAGCCATAGTCCAATGGGGCCTGGCTACTGCTTAAGGTGTCAGCCAACTTTTACACCCTCCCCATGATGCTGGGTTTACTAGCATAAAGAGTGCAAGAGTTTCGGAGTCAGGGAGGCTTCCAAACATCAAATGAAGGCCTGGGAGACCAGGCAAGAAGCCCCTCAGAGGGCAGTACATGTAGGTGTAGGAATGAAACCAAAGGTTCAGTGGAGATCCCAGGAAGTCAGAGATACTGGTAAGTGTGGAACATCTGCCAGGGAAAGCTGCAGGCCATGAGTGGAGCCAGCCCCAAAGAGAGAACATGGGATGCAATCAGTAAGACTAAGCTCTGGAATTCACATCTTGTTAGCATGTGCCAGATGCTGGGTACCAAGATATAGGACTTAGTGTTTGCCCTGCTGGTTTTCAGTCTTGCTTGGTCTAATTGTTTTCTAGACCCCATTCTTCCTTTTTGGAATAAGAATGTTGACCCTATGCCACTATACCTTGGGAAAGTGCAACTTGTTATTCTATTTTTACAGACTTTCACAGCTAAGAATTTACCTTGAGTCTGAGAAGAAACATTGACTTGGACTTTGAGAAAAGCTAAGGGCCGGGGATTGATTTAGCTCAGTGGTTCCGCCACTGCCTCACAAGCTCAAGGACCCGAGTTCAATCCCCAGTACCAAAAAAAAAAGAACAAGGAAAAGAAAAAAATAATGCTAAAACTGATGAGGCTTTGAGGAAGGTATTGTTGCATTTCTGGTTGAATGCAGTAGAGTTGTACTATGTCAGTCAGAATTACGCATAGGATGTTGTCTTTATTTGGAGATTAAGTGTGGTTTAAGGAGATGCGTTTGGGCATCTCCTTAAGGTGAGAAGGAATGGAATGTGGCCTGAATGAGGGGTTGGTCTGATTGGCTTTGGGATCAACATGGGGGGTTGGCAGAGCACACTTCCGGGTGTGTCTGGGTCAGTCATGGAGGCGTGACTTTGGGCTCTGTATGTGGTCCCAGGCCCCTTCCTCTGTGGCACTCTGACGCTGTTGTTTCCTGGCTGCCGTGAACTGAGCACTTTTGCTCCACTGCACCCTTCAGCTGTGGTGTTTCTGCCTTGAAGCCAGCTGATCACGGAATGAGGAAGTGGAACAGCACAGGGAGGAGCAACACTGCATCCTTAGCAACTGCGAATATTCCATAGACAATGGCGCACACAAATCGGGGAAGCAGCACCTCGGGGGGACCAATGGGTGACTGTGGGACTTATCGCCACCTTTCATTATGAAGGGCGGCCCTGGACAATGAAATACATCGGCTATAGGAGATTTAGGACATACCAAAAATGGTAAACCTACTGAAACGGGGCACACTGACGACCCTGCGCCCCTGGTAGGACTTCTTGGTTCTTCCTAGTTCCCCACACCTGGAGGCATCTCCCACAGTTCAACAGCACCGTGCTGCTCAGTACCACTGACAGGCTGGCAAGTGAGAATTTCGAGGGGCATAATAGGCTCCGAAGTCCGTTTTTTCTGTTCTCCGGTAGCATATTTTGGTAGCAGCCACCACTTGGATGTTTTGCAAGGAGAAAATAATGTGCTTTTGAGTAAAATATTTTCCCCAGTGGAGAAATTTATAAGAAAAAGTAAGAAGAGTCTGCTTGCACGCAAATTCAGCTCCCCTTCTGTTTCCAGGATCTGGGGCTTTCTGTACCCACTCCCACCGGGGGAGCCAGGGGGCTCCTGGTGCCCTTGGGGATTGGCGCTGGCACACACCGGGGCTGAGGTTAGGCGTGACGCCCACGTCCGTGCTCCTGTAGTTAGCCTTCCCAACCTACGCATGGTTATCGGTTAAGGTGTTGTTTAAAAGAGAAAAAATCAATTCATCAAATAAATATTTTCCTCATAAATTATCCAAAAAGCAGGGGTCAAACGATGCAAGAGGTTTTTTTTTAAATAGTTGATTCAAATGCTTTGCATCATAGACAGAAGCAGTTAAACGATGGCAAGTGTATAAAAAGGGAACAACACACTTGCAAACTTCAATTTTCAAAAATTCCACAAGGACTTCACCTTTCTATAATCTCCAAATGAGGAAAACCTGAGGATGGCTCTCATAAGTATTCTTTACTCCAAAAAAAATTCTAAGTAAAATCAAATTTAATCATGATGAAAACGACCTTTCTGTGGGCAGGGAAATATCAGTTTATAAGACCGGGGCCAATTCGGGCATTTGAAAATATCCTTGTATTTACTGAGTATTATTTTAATTATAGTGCTTTCTCTGCATTAATCTTGGGTAAAGCTGTGTATGATACTAGAAGGCCCTGTCTCATGCCAAAGCTACCTAGCTCTCTTTTCTCTTCTCTGCTGAAAGGGAAAGAACAAAGAGAAGAAAGCAACTAGGAAACTCCTGGATTACTACACGGTATGTGCATCCACTTAACACAATTATAATGCCCAATTAATCTTAGCAACATGAGTGATGAATCATTTCTCCAGGTGTCTTTTCTAAAGAGAGTAAATTTAGTTCCAACATTTGGCTATTGTTTTACACCAGCTGCAGTCTCCCTAGGTTAATGGGGAAGCAAATAAGTGAGCCCAAATCTTTATTCAAAAACAGCCTCTCCTTAGGTGCCAGCTTAGCACCCTGACTACCATAGGTACCAAGCCTTCTAGGGAAAGCAAGGAACAATAACAGAATTCCATCATGTGGGGCCCTTTTCACGTCTTGATTTGATGGTGTCTCCTGCCATCTACTGATAGATAAAAAAGATGAAAACCACTTCTCTAAACCATTTGTCCGTTATGCCAATTGGTCATTCGCAGATGATCTGCTGCATCTTTTGGTTGATTATGGGAAACCACCCAATTCATCAGGACTTTTCATCTAAAAACTAGCAGGTAAGCTCGCTGCCCACAGAGAGCCTTGGCTTGCACTGATGACGTCTTACATTTGAAAGCGTTGCAGGGTAGGAAGAACTATCACTGGCTTGGGAGTCAGACCATGGGTGCCTATGCCAGCTCATCTAAGGTTCTTTTTCTAAAATGAAAGTGTCGGGCTTGGGGTGCACTTCCTCCCACTTCCAAGATGCTTGAGTTCCTGGCAAATATAGCTCCAAAGAATGGGCCACAGGGGTTTGCAGATAGTTCAATTAAAACCTAGAGCATTACCCCTCGGGCCATTCACCTCCCTCTGCAGAAGACTTCTCCCTCCCGTGTGGTCTTCTACATCCAAGCTGTGTCCTCTCGGCACCTTCTGCTGCTCCTTCTGCTGACACAGTCCTCCTCCTCACCGTGAAAGGCCCTGCATTCACATACAAAGTGAGCACCACTGGGGGGAGTAGCCATTGAGCTGTTGAATTAAGTGCCTCAGCCAGCTACTCTGCAGCTGACCCCCACTCCCAATTGGGAAACAACGGATATATCTGATGTGTTTTCTAACCTTTGAAGAACAGTCAGTCCACAACTCTTTACTTATCCAAGGGTTATTTATCTGCTAACTTCAAATGTCTAGGACACCACTGAGAATCAAAGATGAACAAGAAAAGTTTTGGAGGAGCATTTTGAAAGGTCTCCAAAAAGCAGAAATATGTGTCCCCAGGCACATCACAGTTCATGCACTTGACTTAAGAGAGTTTCTGCTCCCCTTCTCAAAAACATACATCACCAGTATACTTTTAAGTTCACCCACGTTGAGTTTTTGCGCACTGCTATTCAGAAGCAGCAAATTAGACGCAGGGACAGAATCAGTTAGAGACAGCAGAACATCTGACAGTAAACAGGAAGGTGAAAAATGTATACTGTCTTAACTCAATCTTTTCAGAAAGCAAAGAAGTGTGCAATGCATTTTAGAAGGATCAGTACCAAAATTCATTAAAGTAACAAGTGGTCAGAGGCCTGAAAGGTATAAGTTTTCAATAAGAAAAATTCACTGTGCAGATTTTTTTTGCATTCCAAATGATTTTTAAAAAGACAAAGGATTCCCATCAGGGGAGCGGGTACAGCCAGGGTCTTCCTTGGCCAAAGTTCTCAATGGCAAAGAATTTTAACTCAAAGCTGTTGATTCCAGTGAATGTTCCCAGCCTGTGCCCTTGCCCCACCTCCCAGCTCGTGGACGGTGAGGGAGACGGTCGGTGTGTGTGACGTGACCAATCCTCGGCAGCTGCAGTTCTTCTCCATCGGCAGCACTGGTTGAGGCCGTGAAATCCCCCAGGTTGGCAGAGCTGGGGGACCGCGTGGCTCTGGACAGAATGGCCCGGCTGGGTCACTGTTACAGCACTTTCACACTTCTGTTCTAGAGGATGGATCAGGCTCCAGTCTGCCAAACAACTAGGACTCACTATGATGGTTTTTGTTTGTTAGTTTTTGCATTTTGAGCATATGGCAGTCTTTCTTACCTCTTTACCTGTACAGTTTAAGTTATTTCCCTGTAGTCTGTGATTTTACTGGTCACTTCTTTTTCCATTTTTATTTTTTATTATACGTGTTTGCAGTACATAGTGATCCCATTCCTCTGGCAGAGTTGGTACAAGCACACAACACATCTCGATTCTTGTTTTCATCCCCTTTCCCTCACCCCCATGCTTTGGTCCTCTTCCCTTTTGCACAAGATCTCCCTAGTTCCCCATTATCTATCTTTTACTTTGTACTACATTTATATTTCGGGCTTTTCATGTAAGAGAAACCATGCAATATTTAAGCTCGTGTGTCCCTATTTTGAACGTGGCCTTCTCCCCTCAGGTGCCTGCCTGACGGTATTATTTGCCTCCAAGTCCTCAGCAAAACACTGTGCCCCTCTCTTCCGTCCGAACTCTAGAGGGGCTCTGGGCTTGCACACCAGCAGGAGGCAGCTCAGGTGAGCCTCTGTCGCACGTGCCCTTCATGTGCACCAGTGGCACACCCATGTGAATCCAAGTGTGTCAGGGGAACAGTAAGGGCTGACAGACTGCAAGAAAAAAGAGGAATGCGCTTCTGCTCCCTTGGATTTGCCCTTTCACTGTCAAGTACTGGGGTGTGAAAAAGCACAGCTTGGGAGGGATTTGGCCTCCTCTGTAAAGGCTACAGAAGTTTCCAACAGAGAGTGGTGACTCATGCTCCATACATCCTGATATTTCAGAGTGTTCAGGAAAAATGTGACCTAGTCCAGCACACCCTTGCTTTCCGTCCTTTTCTTGCCAGTCCTCAATGCCTATGAGTTTCACCACAAAGGGAAGTTCAACAGCCAAGGTGACGTAAACTGCCAAGGTGAACAAAAGTTCACAAGCGGGGCAAGAGGGGACAGGCCACTGCCCGCTTACCAAGGAGACAGGTTCCACCCAAACACACAGATCTTTCTTGACAAATCTGAGGCTCAGCGTTCGGGCATCTTGCAAAGCAAACTTTTAGAGGTTGCTTCTCCTCCCCAGTTCCGTACACACACACGCAGGCACACACAAACACCAGCTTTGAAATCACATGGTGTTGTCTCACAACGTGAGATGCAGCCAACCTTTGACCTTCACTTTCTAACGCTTCAGGAAGCGGGAATCCTCCATCCCTAAGGCCCCTAGTAAAAGGAGCCCACGGGAAAATCTCCCTAGAAGATACTTAATTGAACATGCCACACATATATCATTTCCCTTCTCCATGAAAACATACAAGGTCACATACTTCAAATCTTGATGCAAACCCATCTCAGGATCATGCAACTCGCCACAAAACAAACACACACAACTTGTGAGACGAATTGGCCATCTGCGTGTGAGGCTGGGGAACGTGAACGAAAGGACATTCCCCTCCCAGGACTGCAGGAAACAATCAGCTCCAACCTTTCTCTGTCTCTGTGTCACAGAATTCCTCACTCACGTTCCAGGGGAGCATGGGATTGACTTGGTTTGGGGCAGCTCTCACCACGCGAAGTCCTGGGACAGAGGAGGGCTGTCAATGGAGGGAAACGCTGTGTGACCCGTGGTGGGAGAGGTGGGATCCCCCGTAGGAAAATGAGCTGCTGCTGTGTGCCGACGCATGCTGGGTAGGCAAAATCCACAAGTTAGCTACAAGAGCGGGAGGTGACACGCTGCCAAAGCTCAGCTAAGTGCCAGGCAGTTGGTCAAGTTATAAAGAGAATCTGTGAGCACTCAGTTCACGTCCAAAGCTCTCCTTTGTGCGGAATTACGTGCTCCAAAAGAGAAAATGAATTTTAAAAAATAGATAAAAAGCCAACTTCTTTAAGGTCACGGAATAAGTTTAATTTGATCAACTGTATTTTTCCTCTGGGAAGGCAAGAGAGGGAATGAAGAGCGAGACTGAGCTTCTAAGCCTCCCATCAATCCTCCGTCAAATGAAAATCGAACAAGAAATTTCAAATTCGGGAAAGTACGGGGGCTGGGGATGTAGGGCAGCAGTTAAGCGCTTGCCTAGCATGCAGGGGTCCGAGGATGGATCTTCAGTGCTGCCAAAGGGAGGAGAAGCGGAGGAGAGAAAAGGAAACAAAACAGATGGGAAGGAATCTTCCAGGTCCGGCTCAACTACACCCCGCGCAGAATTCCCTCTCTCGGGCAGCTCGCACAGCTTCTGCTTGCGAACATAGATCTCAGCACTGCGCAGAGCTAACACGCGGGACGCTCTTCCTCATATAAACAGAAATCTGTTTACCTTTGAATCCCACGTATTGATTCTAGTTCTGCTGACTAGAACTACATAAGAAAAGGAGAAAATAACTTGTAGTTCTTTCCCTGACGGCCCTTTAAACGTTTGAATCATGTCTACCACCCTCCTCTGAAAATAATAACAATAAAATTGATCTTGCTGGGCTAAACATCTCTGGTTCCTTTAAACAATTTCTTACAGTATCTTGCTAACCCTTCACTACTTCTGTAACATCCTTTTGCCCATGTATTAGTTATGCAGAGGTGGATGTAGTTATTGTTTTCTCTTACCTTGCTCAAAAAAAGAAAAAGATTTCAGGAGGCCAACTACCAGTTATTAGTCTCCCTGTAAGAATGCGATGCCCCACAAGAAACGCCAGCCTGCAGAGCGGGGAAGCTAATGCAGATCACTGGGCACACTTCTCAGGGAAGCTTCCATTTGTCACCAAGTGTTTCGGGAGCCGCGACGCTAAAGAGGAAGTTGTAGGCTGCAGAGAAGTCCAGACAGAGGCCTGGGGTGTGTTCCAGGATCATTCCGTGCGAAACAGCCCCTAAATAAGGAAAACAACAGCTGCGCAGGCTGCTTTTCATGCAGCTCTCCTCCAAGGGAACATCTTATCATAGTCATAATCCACTGTTGCCTCACACCCTTAGGGGAAATTCCCCCGGGATGTGTTAGGAGAGGAAACTGCCATGAAAGAGATTTTTCAGGCACATTAGAGCTGACAGAAATCAGTTCTGATGTCAGGGCTGGGTGTGTGAGGAGCTAACTAGGAACACGGGCGGTGTACGCCCAGTCAACCATTCCAGGGAGCCCAAACCACTTCCTCTTGGCACCCAGGGTTTCACCCGGCTCCCCTGGACAGAAGGAGGAAGATGAGGAGAGGGGGTAGGAGGTTGTAATCACAAGCAGAGCTGCTAATGGGGCATCAAATGCACATTTAGCAAGTTCGGTGCATTCCCCACGCCTGAGAACAAACAACTCGGAGAAGCCTCCTTGATTTGCAGTTGATTGTAAACTGTCTGGCTCCATGCGATTTTACAACCATTTCAGCTAATTCAGAGATTTAAACATCCAACCCAGGCAGCATCTTGCGCATTTATGAAGCATTTGAGAGATTACAGGTACTGAGAGGGGGATGATTTACCTTTCCCAGTTCTGCAGCTCACATAGGCGAGCACACGCCGGGCGCCGGGCAGTAGCAGGGGCTTGTGTGCATGTGTGCCTGTGTGCATATGTGTTGTGAGTCTTTTTATAAATCCAAGCATAATTGTGTATTTTCCATGTGCAGTGACAGTCAATTCTCCATACCTCGTCCAAAGCCTAACCCTAAACGTCTTATTCTTACTATTGAAAATAATGACCTGCTACTCACTATCTATAGAAATGTGACCGTATGGGTTTTTTTGTTTGTTTGGTTGGTTGGTTGGTTGGTTGCTTTGGGGGGGGAATTTTTTTGAAGTCGTTTTTGAGCCCTGGGTTGTCAAAAGAAAAATATATGAAAACCCTGCGTAGTAATTCCGGTAACGCTGGCTCCACGTTGCTTCTGCAATCCTGAATTGGGAATCTAGCGCTCCTCCACCAGAGCACAGCCCTGCTCTAGATAAAAGGGGTGGAGGTGTTCTGCAGAGGCAAAGCCGTGTCTCCCACGTGAATCACAAGAGAAGGGAGCCAGATCTCCTCGCACTTGAAAAGCCAGCCTGTGACAAAACCTCGCTTTGTCGCGAGGCATTCTATTTCCTGTACAGCACCAACTGCTACATCCCAAAGGCAAAACACGGGTCTATCTGTTGGGTTCGAGCAAGTGCAGAAATTCTTCTGTATTTTTCTGTATGTGTGCTAAATAGGAAATGTGTGTCCCGAGGGCAGAGATTTTGGTGTGTGTGTCTGGTGTGCCTTACTGATTGTGTCGCCCATTCCAAGGGCCACACAACCTGGCACGTATGTGTTCCACAGCTGATGTGGACACTGCTCCAAGTTCACTCCGGGAAAGTATTGCTCCTGGGCCCACTATTCTGCTTGTAAATGTCAGGAAGCAAACGACTCCATGATGGCAAATAGCAGCCCCCAGAGTGAAGCGGCAATGGGCAGCACGTGAAAAGCCTCAGAAGAAAATAATGTTGGGGTTCGTGTAAATCTAAAAAAAGTGTTGATCTGTTTTGTGCCTAAGAAATTATTATTCGCGTCTTTTTATATCATCCAAAAAGATTGCAAGGAAAAGACCCTGTCTCCATCATCAGCGGGTTTCTTCTTTGTGTCTACCGGATACTTAACACCTTAATGCCTTTTAACTCAGGCTATTACAAGGAGTTAAAACAAACAGCAGGAAAGATGAGCAGAGCCCTGCTGCAAAAGCAGATCTCTCCAAGCGAGGCTGGAAGCTCAGATGCTGGGGACCCAGTGTGACCAGGGCTATGGGACTAAAATGGAGGGATAAGTGTGGTGGCCCGCGCTGGGGTGCAGGGAAGGAGCAGAGCCCCGAGGAAGAGGTGACTACCCTTTCTGCCACTCACCTTCAAGGATGGAAACAGGAGAAACAAGGCCCCTTCGGCGGCGGTGCTTGGCCAGCTACATCTCCCAGTGTGCCATGTTGGTACATGTCCGTGTAACAAAGAGCAGACCCACTAGGCGGATGAACCGGGTTTATCCTCATG